CCCGAGGTGGATGATAGCATTGGCGTTTCAAGCTGCGCTTCTTCTAATCGCGTGTCTTGCCTTACCTGCAAGTTGTTTTTGTAGGCATGTTTATTTGCTGCACGGGGCTTACTAATTTAAAGTCGGGCATGCCACGTGGTTCCATTAGATCATGCAATCATCACAGCCATGTGTACACGCAGCAGCGGGCAAATCCGACTGTAAGCACCATGGCGCGCTGGAAAAAATTACGCAGAACGTTCGTTCCATAAGAGCATTTCCAACAGGCGCCGAACGCGGCGCGCGCAAAAAACAGCTTTAGCGCGCGCCCATCGCCTGATTTGGCGCGGCGTGCAGCGCTCGCTCCAGCAGCCGCGCTAAAATGTAGCGCGCGCCGCTCCAGCAGCGCGCGCGACTCGCACAAATAACATATGTATTCGAAAACAGAAGCAAAAAGATCAAAACAAACAAAAATAAATAGTTTAATTTCATTTATTACAACTCAAACAAACAGTTTATCGTTCAATATAACAAATAGTTCAACAATACAATAACGAACGCCGAGCGGCAGCAAGCGCGCGGGCGCTATTCGTTGGAGGACCAGCACGTGCGCGGGGCGGCTGGACTAGAGGGGGGCGGAGAAAGCGCGCACGGGGCGGGGATAGGCCGGGGAAGCGCCAGAACGGTCGCCGGGTGGCGCGGTCGGCGGCAGCGGCGCGGCTGGATGGGGGTGGGAGGTGCGAGCGAGCGCGCGATAGTCCAGCGCGCGGGAGCGGGCGTAGCAAATAAGCGGCGCGCGATTGCGTTTCGGCCCACGCGCTGGACTACGTATGCCGCGCGCGCTGTTTTCGCGCGTCCGCTGGAGCAGCTATTCCGGTTGCGCGCGCGGTAAAACGGAGGATTTTGCGACGCGCCGCTAGTTTGGCGTGCCTGTTGAAAATGCTCTAAGAAATCCGTTAAAGAAATAATCTGTTCGTTCAGGTGGACAACATGCCCCGTAATAATTGATTCCTAGTGGAAAAAGGACTCGTACAGTACACATGGGACTGGAGGGAGTGGATGCTGGGTGTATATGACGCGTATGCTCCAACAACCGTATACCATGATATGTACTGATCACCGACGGCCGGTACACGTACGTTATGATATATACGCGCGTGCCACCTTTTATTCCGTCGCCTGGATCGTACATACTGTGCTTGAATAGGGTAGCTGCATGTGCGCTAATCAACGTACGTACACGGGCAGTTGCCGTTCCATATTCATCTCTAATCTCTCTCCTGGAGAGAATCTGATGGTGCGTGGCGAGCTAGCACGCCGCACGTACACATTCAAACATATACATAGTGATTGGGCATCGTATCGATCGTTTCTGCCGTCTTCACATCGTTATCGTCATATTTCATATTGCAGTGAGCAAAAGGTTAGGTTGTTGATAGGTGCTTAGCTGAAACGATGAAAGCATTGCTGACGTCGCAGTTCCTTAGCGCGGGCATGCACGTACGCACGTACGCCACCACCTTTAACTCTCGGAGAAGAGAAGAAGAACAGTACATACTGTAAATTGGGACACATGATAGATATTAAGATTAAATTGATCATACGTTTTGCTTTTTATAACAGATAAAAGGAAGTGATAATAAACATAATAAAAATAGTATGTAGATACACGTACGTTCCTTGCTTTAAGTTAATCACACAGCCATAATTAATCCCCAGCTATGTATGCCTCCGTTGGTTGCTTGATTAAGCACCATGCTAATTAATCGATGCCCTGTTAATCCTCTGTACGATCACATATACACTTACTTGCAAGCAAAATTAACAAGCCAGACACGTGCGTACGCACACAAAAAGCGAGAGGAGATACGTATCTAGAGAGAGATGATGATGATGATGATGATGACGACGACGATGTAACGATGAACAGCGCTAACTATATGTGGAGTGTGATGATGGACTAATAATTAGCCCTGGCTGATGCTAAATGTGGCCGCGTCGACAGTGCCACATATGTTGCTGCGAACATCACTGTGGGGCTTCCTTGCGAGGTTGGGTCACCTCCTCCCCTCCTCTTCTCTCTTCCTCCCACCAGCGACCTAGCCACATCGATCGAGCATCGCCGCCCCGATTGATCGCGAAACGGGCGCACAAGCATGTCCTCTCCCCACCTCCTCCGTCTCCGCTTAATTTCTCCAGCCCCTGCTCCTAGAAGTTAATAGAGTACAGAGTACTTGCTCCATTGCTGGCTCTGATCCGTCCGGCGCATCAGCTTCTCGCGCCGGCCGACGCGCACACGGCACACGCAGGGAGGTTGACGGAGACCTCCGGACTGGCCGAGCTAGGGGGTAGACAGGCCTTTGTAGGAGTACTACAAGTATAACCCCGGCCTTGTTGCTTGCTCCCCTACGCTTCTTCCTTCTGGCTACATACAATTATTCCTTCCGGTCCGGGCTCTGGCATCGCCAAGCTATATATTTCCTTCCTGCCAACCTCCCTATCCCAACCTCATTCATACAAACTCAAGCTATAGCCACATAGATATATGCCCTGCCTAATCTCTGCTACCTAGATACCTGCCTTATACTTTCTCTCCTTCTCCACTATCTTGCTAGCTCAATTTGGTGCTGTACTGGAAGCGACATCCATAGATTTCTAAGCCATATCTATCCATAGATTGTAGAGAGAGTTTAGCAGGAGGAGGGTTCATAGAGAAGATAGTGCATAGATATTTCCATGGGGCTGCGGGACATCGAGATGACGCTGCCGCCGGGGTTCCGGTTCTACCCGAGCGACGAGGAGCTGGTGTGCCACTACCTGCTCAGCAAGGTGGCCAACCAGCGCCTCTCCGGAGGAGCCGCCGGGACCATGGTGGAGGTCGATCTGCACGTCCACGAGCCATGGGAGCTGCCAGGTCAGTTTATTACTATTATTATTTTTATTTAGATCAAAAGGCTCCTCTCCTCTGTTCCATTCACTTTTTCCTACTACTCCATTAATTACCACAGTTAGCTATCCCCTCAATTTTTTTTACCAGTTCGTTAGTTACTACGGAGTACTCGACCCATCTCCAGTCCCTCTCCACTAATCTTTACTAGCTACTCGATCGATCTTGATCCAGTACGTTTTTAGTCCCTCTCTAGCAAGCTACATATCTCTCTTAATTAATTTAACTTCATTCCATGGAATGATTAACTAAGCACGCAACCGTGTTTTATTGGCTCTAATTCGGACTTGTCCTTATTATTATTGATTAGTGCACTAAATTAGTGCTCATTCCGTCGGGATTTATTAGGCTCTCTCGTATTTTGAGTCAAATCTTGACCATCTATTTGACTAACAAAATACAATGATATTAATTTTTATGACATACAGTTTACATTTTATTAATTAAATCAATGATCAAATTTTATTCCAAAATAAGAGGAGGTCTAATAAAATCCGACGGAGTTACTAGTACTACTACTCATCAACTTGTGATACTGCTCTGCACTATATACATGCATATATGCAATTCCTGCAACTGCTGTGTTGTTTCTAGCACAAGTTTCCTCTTAGGATTTTGAGTGGGTTACCACCACAAGCATGAACTTCCTATAATTAATCTGTCAAGTGGGCAGCATTGTTTGCATTTTTTTTGGATTAGTTAAGGAACTGGCTTGGATGTGGCATTTTATATCAGCATTTTCCCACCCCCTCCTTCCTTGGAGTATTTGCCTATTTCAACAAACAAACTTAAAATTCCCCATTTTTTTGAACTTCGTTTCAATATTATTTTTTACTAAATGAAGGATAAATGCATATATACTTTCTTTTGCCTCTCAACCTCTCTTTCTATGTGTAATTGTACAACCTGATATGATCTATCATCTATCATGTTTGCGTATACACTTGGTCATCCACCGAGTGCATTCTGTTGCTAATTTTGCGTATGGCTCCATCCATGGTGGTATGCAGACGTGGCGAAGCTGACCACGAACGAGTGGTACTTCTTCAGCTTCCGTGACCGCAAGTATACGACGGGGCTGCGCACCAACCGCGCCACCAGGTCCGGCTACTGGAAGGCCACCGGCAAGGACCGCGTCATCCGCAGCCTGAGGTCGTCCTCTTCCCGCTCCGGCCGTGACGCCATTGTCGGCATGCGCAAGACCCTCGTCTTCTACCGCGGCCGCGCCCCCAACGGCATCAAGACCTGCTGGGTCATGCACGAGTTCCGTATCGAGAACCCTCACTCCCCACCCAAGGTGGGTTTAATTGTCATGCTCTTGCAATATAAACCTGATCTTAATTACCTGATTTTTTAATCGATAGGCGGTGCTAATATGCTTGTTTGCATTTGAATTTTGTTTGTTCAGGAGGACTGGGTGCTGTGCAGAGTTTTCCACCAGAAGAAAGCCAACACGGAGTACGCCATGGACGGCAAGCAGGAGCCCGGCGGCGGCGGCGTGGCTCACAAGGCTGCTGCCGTGAGCGGATCCAACTACGTAAGCTCCTCGTCCTGCTACGATCCGGATCAGTATCAGCACTCGCCTTCCGCGCCGTTCCCTTCCCTTGGCGCTGGCGGCCACCATTACCAGATCACGTCCTGTGATCATCACCACCCCGACGGTGCAGCAGGCGTCTTGCACAGCAATGTGGACGCTTTCGCCGGCATGCCGCAGCTGCTGAGCTACGAAACTACCCTCGACTTCAGCCAGCTACTCCAGGGCGGCGGCAGTGCAGCGGCGGGTTTGAGAGACGGCGCCGATGATCAGTGTGGCGGGGCGCTGATGGATCTAGGGCTGCAGGTGCAGGAGGCGCACTACAACTACAACAGCTTGATGTAGATGTGTATATATGATGTAGATCGGTGGGTGATGCATGCCGCTATACGTTAGTTGACACAAATCGGTACGTTGACTCGTGTGCAACAAATCATAAGACCGGGGAAGTAGACAAGCTGATCATTGACCGGTACACCGGCTACGATAAGACGCACACCCAACGGTACAGGTATGGACATTTGTTACATAGTATATACGAAGCGCCACTCTTCATACCGATCTAATAAACTTCATCATCTTTCTCGCAAAAAAAGAACTTCATCTAAAAAAATGATCTGTATATTTCTGCTGCCAAGAAGAACTTATTTCCTCTTGAAAGCTTAATTACTATACCCGCGTTCCATAATAATTGATGTTTTGGGCTTGTTCAAAGTCAAACTTATTTAAGTTTAACCACATCTTTAGAAAAATGTATTAACATCTGAAATACCATATTAGTCTCATGGGATTCTTTATGAAATAATTTTCAGTACTACGTGTATTTCGTTTTGTAGATGTTGGCACATTTTCTATAGAGTTGGTCAAAGATAAACAAGTTTGACTTTGCACAATCCAAAAACTTGAATTATTTTGGAACGGGGAAGTAATTAGGATTCTCAAATTGTATTCTACGAAGGATCAAGTAATGTAGAAAATTCTAATTCAAGATACGAGAGAGGCGTCTACCCCATGAAGCCCCGATAGATTTCTTCAGCCAAGATGACATATGCTGTCTCCAAGGCTTCTCAATAATCTCAATGAAGTAGCATCATCGCATAGGCCATGCATTCATGGATATATTTTTTCCAGCAAGAAGGCGAATGCCCCGCCATATACTGAGGCCCTTAAAGTTTACAACTAGCAAGCCGAAATGAAGTCTTGAAAGGAAACTAAAAAAAGGTTCAATACATGGTCGGAAGAGACCAAAATTAGCTAATCAAAGACAAAACATGCCCACGAGCCGCCCAGTAGCACACGCTTGCACCGGACAGGAAGCTCCCCCAACTTTTGTTGTCCTGTTGTGATGTGACATGAAGCTCCCAAAACCTTGTTCAGAGTTTGTCAATGAAGAAGTCACTGTGCGGTCGGTCCTACAGTCTCCCCATTGGCTTCCACAGCTGCAATAACAAAGCCCTTTACAAATGAGATCCGCCAGGTGTTTAAACATACGCATCTCCATAAGAGCTTCATTATACGATGTCCATCACGACCAAGCAAGTGTCTCAAAGCCAACCCAAGCAAGCCTCTTATCCTTGCCACTCGTCCCATTAAGTTGATGAAAATCTGTAAACCAAGCCGGGTTCCATGCGCACCCCGTTGCCTCATGGATATCACTCTAAGGAAATCTGTGCTATGGTACATCAGAAGAGGATGAAGTCGCGGTCACATCTGACACTTGGTACCCACCAGGAATTTTGTTCATGTCCACTTGCCACAAATGATTACGATTTTAGCCA